TATTTATACAGCAAATTAGACGTAGCAACTAGGTATCATGACTTTGGTATCATCTAATATGTCGATGTAAAAAATTCTAAAACCGCCGCGCCAGTTAGTCTATCATCTTACAAGGTAAAATCACAGAAAATATAAATGCCCGAGAGAATCGCGCAACGCTGTTAAAATATGTTTGCCGAAAAGCTAGCGCTAATATAATTTATTTCATTTTATAACACCGGAGCAGCGCCTCTAGCGGAAACGTCAAATTGTCGAAGCAATGTCAAAAAACAGCGAATTTCGCTGTTATGAGTACTAGGCTTTATCAATACTGACATCGTTGACATGTAACAACCCGTATTCTAACCTCATAAAAATTTCAAAATGCCGGCTGGTTGGCAAAAGTCACGTGGTTTGGATTCCCTAATTTTAGAATTTTTGGTGTACAAAATTAGGTAGGTGGTTTCCCCCTCGTAAGCTACCTAATAATATCAAAAAATTCTTGGTTTTTCCAACTGTGCCAAAAATATGGGATTACACCTGGATGTTCATCTAAGGTTTAATAAACATGTACAAAGTTTGCTGCAAAATAGTTATTGTTGCTGTTGGACTCAGTTAATTTGCCTTTCAGAGAATACAGTGTATATAAACTGAGATTAGAATATAAGAAGCGATTGTTACAAAATAGCTAATGTCACCTATACGGGGTGTTTTTCAAAACCTGCTCACCCCTATAACTTTTTTATTTTTTCAAATAAACAAATGAAATTTGGTGTGTTTATTTATGACCCGGATGTGCATTATTTGACGTATTCAATTTTTTACTATCACTTCCGGTTTGACCGGAAGACCCTAACTTCCTTATTTTAAATGAGACGCCAGGTAAATTTTTCCTCATTTCAATAGAAAACTACATTACGAGTACAATGACACCTCATTTGTCACTTTTTGACATTTCTCCTCCAAATTATTTAAATTTTTACTTTTTAATCTAGAGCGCCATGAATAGGTTAAATTGCTTAATTTTTTTCGCTCCAAGAAACATGGGAAAATTTGTTTTGAGCTTATTTTGAATTTTATATCCTCTAAAGACTCATTTAAAGTTAGTAGCAGCGCATTTTTGGAATTATATCAATTTTTTCAAATGGAAAGGGTATGGCTCATTAGCATATTTCAAGAGAGCATTTTCTAACAAACAATTCAGTACCACACAATCACTAGTTTATTCAAATATTGAACTAAAATTTTCCAAAAATATTTAGGATGCTAGAAAAATTCTTAATTTGAGTGATGAACTAGCGATTGTGTGATACTGAATTGCTCGTTAGAAAACGCTCTTTTGGAACATGCCACAGCCCCCTACACTTACAAGCCATGAAGCTGGAAATGACGGCAACGTCGCATATGGTGCTATTTTGTTATCGAGGTTATTGTTTCTGTGTATTGCGTTCATTGTATATTGTTGCAGTTTAGTATTTTTGTGGGCATTATTGACGAAAAAATGGATAGAAACACACCGATATATTGCCCATATTTAGTTGATACCTGTTCCTTTGTGCTTTGATTGCAAATTTTCAGCAAATGGGTACATCAGCAAAAATGAAGGTAATGTAAGGTTAAAACAATAAAAACAATATTAATATTGTGCAAGAGCATAGGCCTCGATATATTACCTAAGATATTTAAACTTTTTTCCAGATGCCATGAAACTACTGTGTTCCTGGGTGCAAATCGAACTAGGAGTTCCTTAAAACCTGAAGAAATGCAAACATTTATTTCCAAAAAAATTCTGAAATGCAGAAGTTGTGGATGAAAGCAATACACCAAGATAATTGTACCCGAGATTGGCGAGATTATACCATAACGAAAAATTCTGAAGTGTGTTGTGAACATTTTGAAGAAACCGAAATAATTAGATTTGAAACAAACAAGAATAAAGGAGTAATTCGAGAGTTCAAACTAAAACGTCCAACTCTTAAAAGTAGGTACCAGGTACCTCTTATTTTCGGAAATCAGCTCAAGTATTTGAATAAACCTGCCTTCTGAAAAAATCCTGAAGAAAGAAAAAGTTAGATTTTCAAAAGACATACTGAAACATAGGCTTATAACACTTTAGAATCTAGAAATAGATTCATTTAAATCAATTATTTACTGTTCTTATTTATACATATAGTTATATTATTCATTGAATTACTGTTTTTGACCCTTTAGTACAATAAATGATGCATTTTTTGTCATTAATATTAACAAAATAAAAAATATATACTTATAAAAACAAACAGCACCAGCACCACTTGGCGGTAAGATTGCGGTGTTGACTTTTTAACTTCATGGCTTGTTAAGTGTAGGAGGCTGTGAACATGCTCATGAGCCATACCCTTTCCATTTGAAAAATCTGATATAATTCTAAAAATGCGCTTCTACTATCTTTAAATGAGTCTGTAGAGGATATAAAATACAAAATAAGATCAAAACAAATTTTCCCATGTTCCTAGGAGCAAAATTAAGCATTTTGACTTATTCATAGTGCTCTAGATTTAAAAGTAAAAATTTAAATAATTTGGTGATGAAATGTCAAAAAGTGACAAATGAGGTGTCATTGTACTCGTAATGTAGTTTTCTATTAAAATGAGGAAAAATATACCTAGCGTCTCATTTAAAATAAGAAAGTTAGGGTGATAGTAAAAAATTAAATACGTCAAATGATGCACATCCGGGTCATAAATAAACACACCAAATTTCATTTGTTTATCTGGAAAAATAAAAAAGTTATAGGAGTGAGCGGGTTTTGAAAAACACCCGGTATAGATGATAGATGCTACAATTCCTGTTATTTTTGTATTACCTTTAAAATGTTGGCCCAATGTGGGGCACATATGGTTGAGTGGAAGAATGGCCATTGGCTAAACTTCACCACCTGTGTTCTGTATGCGTGAATCATATAATCATATATTTTTTTTTTTTTTTTTATTAATATCCACTTATACTTTAATATACTAATATCGAGAATAATATATTATGAATGTATGAATATGCAAATAAAGACGTTTATTATTATTATTATTAAATAGAAAAAAAGAAAAATTTAAAATTGTTTTTGCTTAGGGAAAATGATCTTGTTTCCTAAGTCAGCATAGTCTTTGTACATTTAACGAGACATATCAGGTTTTTGTCCATTTTGACTCTTTGTCTTTGTTAATTTTAATAATTATTGTACAGTTGTATTTTGCAATGATGTTTTTGATTTTTTTTATGATTTTTTGTTTATATTAATTGATTGATTGTTTCTTTCTGTTAGTAATGTACTTTGCTTTGTAAAATGGTAAAACTGTAAAGTTTTGTAAACTAGCGTGTATTTGCTAAATAAAGGAAAAGGATTATTAACAAATTTGTAACTGTTGATTTCTGTGGTAGGAAACCATGCTGACTGTTTGGTATACCATTGTTCTCCAACAAAAAGGATGTTGATTCTTTAGCAATTCACCATATTAGTTAGGTTAGGAAAAATCGGGCGCGAAATTTAAAATGGGTTCCTAAACATATTTCAACAAATTTGACAGCAATGTATTTCTTATGGGGGATTCAAAAGAGTGATTTTCAGACGGGAATCCCTTGGGTTCTGGGCATTTCTTAGTATTTGAACCTATTATACGTAAAACTTTGAACATATTTCTCCATAATTCATGCTCTAATTGTTTTCTTAGACCTATGAATTAAAAATACAAATGATTTTAATTAAAAGCGTCTGTTTTCGGTGGACGTACGTCGGGTCTAAAACTAGCTGTAAGAAAGTGAGGTTGTGTGTTGTGTTATGATTGTTGGTGAATTGTTTATTTATTTATTTATCACTAGTACAGTCATTTATTTTTCCATTTTTTTGGATTATTGAAGTACATCTACTAACCAAGTATGTAGGTACACTTTTATTTTATTATAATTATGGGTACCCATATATACTTGTGGATCAAGCAACGACATATGTATTTTATACAAACATTGGCTTCTTAAATTGGTAATATTTTTATTTTAACAATGTTTATTCAACTTTCAAACACTCTCTCAGTTAATTAACATATTAGAAAAACTATTTATACAACTCACTTCCCTAACAAACATTCTATCACGTCTACAGACGCTTTTAAAATTGAGTTCCCATAAGACATCAATGTATTAATTTTTAAACTAGGAACCCGCGCCAATTTGCGATTCTAACCTAACTAATATGATGAATTAATTTTTCCATTGTCTTACATAAAGCACAAGTGAAACTAATTATTGGTTGAAAGTTCTCTGGATTGAATTTGTTGGCCACTGTGAGCGAAACGAAAATAAGCTGTGCTAGATGAAACTAACGGTAACTAATTAACCTAACTAAGTTTGAACGGCCACTGGGAACGATTTTCGTTTAGTTCTCAGCTGTGTTTTCATGCCGAAATACCTATACATTTATTTAAAATGTTAGAATGAGTCCTGTTGCAAGCAAAATGAATCTGTATTCCAAGTCAGCATCTGTAGAATCATACTTTTTATGTGCAAACACAGTGGAAAGTAAATAAATAAGAAATTCAGATCAAATCTCTAGAAACGCTCCATTCTGCAAAGAATCATTCATACCTTTATAGGATCCTCACCCATTTAAGAATTTTGCCTATACAATTTATACTGGTCGAAAAGATAAAACATTTCAGAAATTTACAATAATCTGCTCCTGAATATGCTTCAAAAATAATTAGTGAGGAATCAAAATGAGCAGATCCTACCTTTTATTGAGATGTTATAAACCATAACAATAACAAGACAAAGAAACATGTAGGTAGCCTGTAAAACATTTTAATGAATAAGTGAACTCTAAAGTTTATTCACAATTGGGGGCTAAAAAAGTAAGTACTTTATTTACTTACTACAACAGGAATAAGTACTTACTCTTGAAATATTCTGGGAAAGACTTGCAAATAATCTTTCTTTGTACATTACAGTAACAGTAACATAAGCTACAGATATTTTACAATGAGCATTCTCACCTGTAAGATCCTGGAACTGAAGTACTTTTTCTGTTTGATTAGTGGTAAGCCCCAGGGCTCCGTTTTCGTTGTGAAACTCCATCTCGGGGACAGCAATTTAAGCAAATCAATGAGGAGACTGTCTATGGTAGTTCAAATGACGAGAAATTCAGCAAAATCATCACAAAAACAAACTCTCAAAAACAATAAATTCAATAAACTATTTTCGTCCGTTCACAATTTTCCTATAAAAATAACTTTCATTTACAAGTATTTTCACTTTTTAATTTTTTCTTTTTCAGTCACACACACAAAAAGTGTCAGTGTCATGACCGATTATGTCAAATGTCACTTCGGAAAAAGATAAAAGAGTACACGGGGTAAACAGAGTTGTACCGTTGATTGTACGAAAATAACTTTGGAGCAATTGAGTACACCTGGGGCCCAATTCTCGAATTACGATTTCCCAATATCGCGTACGAGAATCGCATATCTCGATACCTTTTGGCATAATCCAATTCTCGAATGTCACCCTCGCCTTTTTCTGATCGACATAATTACGAGTGGGTAAGACCACGCGGGATGAGATCACGAAGTGTCAATTTTATTTATTTTTGTCATAAAAATGGCTGATTACGAAGAAAGCGGCTATTGAAAATCTTGCGATTCCAGTAGTAAATATTAGATTTTTTAGGAGATTCTATGAGTAAAAAAACGCGTTCAATTTTATGTCTCAGTGCCTTTACTGCCCTTTTGTGAAAAACTGTCGATTAACTAAGAATTAACACGGGGCTTAATTGAGTTGGTGCGACCCTATATAAAGGATAGTACTAGAGCTTCTTCAATTTCTATTGAAGCCAATAGTTGTATTCCTTTCAAGAACTTAGAACACCCAAGCTACTCGCTCCGTTGTTAGTTGGCCCCGATTTGAAAGGAACAGATGCGTGGTGCTACAAATACTTTTCGAAAGGAATAAGCGCGTAACGCCCCGGAGCTCTTCCGGAGCTCCTCCTAGGTGTGAAAGGAATAAAACTAATGTAAGCATGTTCACTTTTTAAAGAACTTCATATATTCTTCTTTTTTCCACTACTTTACTACGAATCGTAATCGTAATCGCATAAAATAGGACCTAGAACTTATATTTTTTCAAGAAAAAATCCACTTTTATTTTGAAAGATCAAAAATTGTGACAGTTTGCAGTTGTCAAAAACGTGCCAATACTATAATAGTACATTAAAATACAAGTTTCATAAGACGTCATTTTATCGCACGAGCCCTATATTAGAAAACGAGCCGGAGGCGAGTTTTCTAAAGGGCGAGTGCGATAAAATGTCTTATGAAACGAATATTTTATACTATTTTTTCTATTTTGGTATTGTTTAATTAAAAAAAAACAAATTTTTCTTGGAAACTTTATTCTCATATTTCCTGATTTCATGTTTAGGTTGGTAACATTACATGCCAAATATAGAAATCTTCTTTTTTATTTTTATTTTTACCATAATAAAATCGCAAATGACAGTTCGATGGCCATCAGTCAGCCAGTGTTACAAACTTCCGATAAGTAAAAAAGGAGTGTCACAAAGAGCTTCTTTTCCGAAACTACTTTTAGTGTCGAAAAGACTTCGATATGGAACCAAAATAGAAAAAATTAGATGTTGCCATGTTTAAACATTCGACAATTGTCGAATGCGTCATTTAAATTCGCATACCGACCGAGAATAGTGTTTAGGATTCGCGTTCGACATTCAGATGCGTGATTTGTCGATTGCGAGATTTTCAGTCGTAACTGGAGAATTGGGCCCCTGGCCAAACATAAAACTGGTACAGGCAATATATTTTTTTTTTTAATATGTCGTTTTATCCTATTGCAACACGAGCTCATCAGCTATAAAATCTGTTTTTTTTTAAAGATAATTCCCCAAGTCAAAAATTTAGTAACTGTTGGCAGCACAAGCCTTTCTACATGAAAATTTGAAAGCATTGACAATTTTACATTAGTTCTTTTGACGTGGCTCCGGTTACAAAACGGTTAGAAAAATGACATACCGTTTTCTAACCCGGTTACAAAGTGACGTGATGGATACCTACCACTCGAATTTGAGCGGTATGTTGCGGTTTGTTAAGCCGTAGCTACGTGAAAAGGGTAATTGTATTGCCAACATAATGTCATTTTGACTTTTATTCTAAAAAAAAATAACAGCCCCCGGATTCTGTTTTACGAATCGAGTCGGATTGTCTCGATATCGAATGCGACAGCTCCGGACGTACCGAGTTAAGCCCGGGACACACCTATCATGTATTCTTCCGATCCGACTCCGATCATACAATCAGATTCCTTATTCTTGAAACAGGCACCAGTGTTCCCAAGCGTTCTCCTGTGGAACGCTGCTTCCTTGTTCCAAGAATAAGGACCTTGATTGTATGATCGGAGTCGGATCGGAAGAATGCATGATAGATGTGTCCCGGGCTTAATACGTATATAAAAATCCTAAAATAAAATCGCTATTTTGACAATTCGATACGAATTACGAATCGACACGTAAAATAGAATCCGGCAGCAGACTTTACCTACGGCAATGACAGAGGGATTGTCATATTTGACAAAAAATCCCTTAAGACAAAAATCCATTGTAGAGAAAAGACGTTATTACCCAAAATAACGAAAAATGACAAGACCTGTCAGTCGGATATTTCACTTTTTATGCTCACGACTGTACCAGTTTTATGATTGGCCAAGTGTACTTCACATATTTTAGAACGATTAGTACAACGGGTAAATTCGTATCGTAATCAAACTTTTAGAAAATACAGTAACTAAATAGGTATGCGCACACTGCGCAGTTAGAAATAACATCTTCGGGTTTTATCAAACTAATTCATAAAATAGCGAGTATTAAAATAGTGTTCGGGGGTCAAATTCAGAACTATTTTCAGATGATCAAAGGCAAAGGCGATTTTCAGCCTGGAATGATTATTTATCGGTAAATAAATACCGGGGATATTCTTTTGGTTGACAACTTTGATAGCCAAGTGTGACGGTATAGCCCCCCACCACTCAAGAATCATAGCCCAAGGAACTGACCGCTGAATGGCGCTGAGCTGAAATGATTTGGCTATAGCATTGTAGGGGTATGGGTTATTATTCATATTTGTTTTTTCGTTTCGACAATGGTTTCTTGTTAAGGTACAAAACATGGAGCGGAATCTCTCGTTGAGTGTATAAGCGGTTTTTGTTATTTTTGATTATTTCATAGTGACGTCATCATCATAGATCATCATTTGGTCCTTACGTATTAAATAAGAGCTGGGTTCGGCTGGCACACTCCAAGTGACTCAGTTCACACTCTAGCCATTCGGGTATTGCCTTTTAACGAATCAGACAATGGCTGGAGTGCGAACGGCGTCACTCGGAGTGCACAGAGTGTGCAAGTCGAACCCAACTAAGCTCTTTTTATCTTTGGTTCAACCATTTTTAACCTACCTTCGGAGCTAGGTTATTATGTTCTGTCTTTTGTCTGAAATAGTAAATAAAGAGGAGAAATACCCGTAATGGCGGATTTTGACGGGTTTTTCGTTGTTCTGTTGTGTTTTGTGTGTTGTGTTTTTTTTGTACAACCCCAAAAAATGAACTTTGAACTAATCGAAAAATCTTTGAGGATTTGATCTAATCTAGGTCAACACAAAACTAAACATTAAATTTCACCAAATTAATTATGTACTGTACTGTACTTCAGGTAAAAATTCAACAAAAAACAATCACAAGACAGAAGAGTACGGAATAAACAAAAAAAATGGGGTTAATGGAACAACCATGGGCGGGTCCGGCTTACTCACTCCGTGCACTCCGAGTGACTCCATTCGCACTCCTGCCGTTCGGGTATTGCTTTTTACCCGTATAAAGGTGACTCCATTAGCTCTGTTCCTACTCTACTCCAACTCCGCCGAATAGTCTAATAACCCAGCTTACAGCATAAACGCGAATTCTCTGTTCTCTCAGGTTATCAATATTCCATCGCCTTTAATCGGCGTAATGGTAAATACCAAAAGCAAATCAGCAAATCTGTGTCGTCACAACTTCCCCTACTCACTGATCTCCCCTACTTTGGTAAAAACTGCGACAGCGGAAATATATTAGTTCTTTTCACGTGGATCCGGTTTAACTAACCGGGTTACAAAACGGTTAGAGAAATGACATACCGTTTTCTAACCCGGTTACAAAGTGACGTGATGGATACCTACCACTCGAATTTGAGCGGTATGTTGCGGTTTGTTAAACCGGAGCCACGTGAAAAGGGTTATTGGTTAAAACCAAATAACAATCATCCCGGCTTGAAATTGCCTCAAAGCAGACGATGGTTTCGAGTAGAACGATCTAGGACTCTCCGTGAACTGCACCGATTTGCTTGCGTCTTCGACATAGTTTTGGAACTGTTCTATTATCGAATGTAATAATACCACAAAAGGTTTCAGGATTACCGGATAATAGAGAGTTCTCGTGGCGTCCAAATTTCAAATACCGTAACGCTATTTGACAAGTATGACAGTTTTTACGGTATTAGCGTTAGCGGAGCACGGCTACGCTATCTAACGGAACTTACCGGATGCCTTACCGTAACGCTATGCTATGTCAAAACTAGTTTACGCTCCATTTGTATCTGCAAAAACAGAAACTTCTAATAATTTCTTCATAAAAAACACCAACTGAAAATTAATCAAGCTCAGGAATCTTCAGAATAAACAAAAGTTAGAAAACAAACAAAAAAAGTGGGGTTAGATTACTCAACTCAGCTGTCAAAATGTAAACAAAATAAGGGATTAGAGGATTTATGTGTCTTCGTGCCCGAGAACTATAAATTACCATGTGAAATACCGTATTGTTAGCGGTACCGTATTAGCGTAGCGTCTGATGCACGAGAACTTTCTAATACCTTTACCTGTCACGGAACGCGTTACGCAGCAACACCACGACTCCGCAGGAGGAGTGGTGTTGCTGGTAACGCGTTGAGTGTTGAGTGTCAGGTAAAAGTATTAGGTAATCCTGAAACATCGAGTGGTATTCAAAAACATAAGTGTGCGTGCTTCAAAAAATTGTCAGAAAACGGCTCCTACTCTGGACTGTTTTAAATCGTCGTGAGTCAGTCTGAGAACAGGTTACCTGCTCTAAAGTGTAATATTCCAAGTTAAGCAGCCATAACAGCAAAATTCGCTATTTTTTGACATTAGTTGTCTTCCTTTCAAGAGTTTGAAACACTCGAGCTAGTCGCTCCGGTGTTCAGTCGCCCCCGATTTGCAGGGAACAGATGTGTGGTGCAACAAATACTTTTCGAAAGGAATAAGCGCGTGAAGCCCCGGAGCTGTTCCGAAGCTCCTAGGTGTGAAAGGAATACAACTAATGCATCGACAATATGACGTTTTAGCGCGAATCAAGCGTCAAATTGTCGAAGCATCAAAAAAGAGCGAATTTCGCGGTTATGAGTACTAGGCGTAAGTGCTGATTTTTGCATATCATGATCATCATAGGCGTTTTCTCGCGTCCACTTTTTTAAAACTGGTTCAAAACTGACAAACCCACAAACCGTTTTAAAATACAATCCAATCCACGTTTTCGAACCATTTTCTCGCGCCGAGAAATTATGACTTCATGGTGACATTATTCAAACCAGTTTTGAAAAATGTTTTGATTTGAAACATTTGAGACGCGATAAAACGCCTCATGTAATAGTTGTTTTCGCGAATCAGATTCCATATCGTACAGTTTAATAAAACATATTTCGGATTGTCGTTTTGGAACAGGAAACCAAAAGAGAGTTATGAGTCTCTATCACTCAACTATGGGCGCGTTTGGGTTGACGATCGGTGCACTCAGAGCGTGCACTTTTGTCTCTCTTCCGTTATTTTTGAAGCTCCGACAACGCTTGATTGTGTTTGGTTTTACATATTTTGAGCGCTCCGAGCGAGCTCGATATACTCCATGTTTGTGGATTGGGCAGCTGGAGCGTGCATGCGCAGATCAAATGTGTTTACTTTTAATTAAATTTTCTCGGTAGTCATCATTACTGGCATTTATTGAACATATTTTTCCAAGGGAACTTGGCAGCCTCAGTCAGAGTGTTTAGGTCCATTTTATTGTTTATGTAGCACGATATTTTTAGTAGAACACAAAAGAAAATGGGGCTGTTTGAAAATTATCGACTAAAATAAAAAATAAACGAGAAAACTCTGGTGCGAATGCGGAGTGCGGGCTCGGACTCCAAAAAATATATCCTAAAAAAATAAACAATAATCAGCTGATCGCTCAACTCATCACTTTTGCACGAGTTTATTTGGCTTGACACGGTGTACCCCCTATGACGTCACGTTACTCCGTAATCGCTCTGCTCGCTCCGCCGAGCGTCAACCCAAACACGCCCTATTGTGAATTATTCAGAGTTCATCCGAAACCGATTGAATTTGAACTACAAATAAATAACAAGTAAAAATCCAGAATTTATTGATCCACAAACGATATAATTTGAGCTGCTCATACAAATAATTTGGAATCAGTTCTGAAGTTCTCAGAAAGTAAAAATTTGGTATTCGGGTTAGATTCAGAACTGTTTTGAGAAAGAGACAGCTCAAATCAAATAAATATCAAGCAGATCATTGAGGTTTGTTTGTTTGTGTCGCACTTACTTGAACTAAGCTATAATATTTCAGCTTATAACAGATAAACCATATAAAATGCTCACGGACGAACGCCCCAAAGCTGGAAGTGCTGCCCCGAACAGCACAAACAAACAAACCTGTTTCGAGTAGTAAATCCTCGGCCACTCTTGAGCTGCACCAATTTGCTTGCACGTTAGACGTAGTTTTGGGATTTGTTCTATTACCCCAAAAACAGGAATCTTGAGGAGAGGAATAATACACTTTGCGTGATTCAAAATTTGTCCGAAAACCTGACAAGTTCAGAAATCAGAATCCATCCCGAATTGATTCAATTTGAAGATGCCAAATATCAAGACCCGAACGACATGAGTGTGTATAGAGTATCTCGGAGCGAGCAGAAGTTCATTTCCAGAACAACACGTGTCAAGTGTCAATTATGTCAAATGTCTACTGATTAGAAATTTCCCACAATCCTCCACGACCTCCCTCAAACACAAATTTCCCCATAACCTAATTTGTGGTTTGTGGTAGCAAGCATTTTTGTTGTATGAATTGAATAAAATTATTGTATTTATTTCTCCTCTTTCGATTGATTCCGTGTAAAAATTAATAAGAGAAATGGCCGGCCCACCCAAAAAACCCAAAAAAATCGAAAAACCAACAGAATCCGGCGACGAGTCTATGAGCGAAGAAGAAAACGAAATTCAAACGGAGACGGAGATTCAAGCAAATTTCGATGGTCGCTTTTTAGGAGCCGAACACTATCACGGAATAAAACGACTTTTATTGCAACTATTTCTAAAAGCCGACATTGATCTTGGTCAAATCACTGATTTATTAATCGGACAAACTGGTATCGGATCAGTATTACAACAAGCTATTGAAAGTGATGATGATGATGAAGAAGAAGACATGGATGTAGTTGAAGCAACTACTGTTTTCGCTGTAACAAGTATCCTGAACTTAACAGCCAACAAGGAAACTCCTTGCATAAAGCAACTGTATTCATTGTTGGAAGAATTAACTGTCCAACATGCCAGCCAAGAAGCTAAAGAAGGAATAACAAAAATACTACAACAAAATGATAAAATCGGCTTCCTCATTCATGAAAGAATTGTAAACATTCCTGCAAAAATATCAGTACCGATGTTGACTGCTCTGAATGAAGAGATTGAAAAAACCAAGAAGAAAAACACCTCCTATGACTTTGATTATTTGATTATCATCAGTAAAACTACAAAACCAAAAATAGGCCAGAATGGAGTAGGCGAGACATTCACCAATGAAGAAGAACAATTTTTCCTAAAAAAGGCCGAATGGACATTTGACTTTAATGTAGAGAAAGACTGTGATTTAGTAGCTGCCGATTGTTTGCCTGAAGAAGAACAGCTGGTACCCTTTAGACGAATATCTGTATTTAGGGCTAGTGTCTTTAGGAACATTGTTGACACAATTACAAATATAATTAATTGAATAAAACCAATAAGTTTGAAAGTAATTACGAGATTTAACTTAATTACATTCACTTCACAAAAAGAACCTTCAATTTTCCAGTTCCAGTCTGATTTCTCAAAAACTACACAAAATAAAACTTTTCAATTTGTAGAATAGAAAGGAGATTAAGAAAACAAGACTTTAGAGCATGAAGCATTTACTTTAAAAAAATTCTTCCAATTTCTCAATTCTGATTTACTTTCCATCACTTTCCGAGTTGTTAAAAATGTTTCTATTTTTCTTCCAGGTTTCATGTTCTGTACTTTACTTGATACTTTTATTTAGAAACATTTGAATGAAAATGAAAATTCAACAGCGTAGAATAAACAAAAAAAGGATATCGAAGAAATTAAAGAAACTGAGAATAAGTTGCTGAAAATCTTTTTAATTTTATCCCAGGTTGCAAGTAGAATTTCCTTTATATTTTTATTCAGAGAAATTTAAACGAAAACAAAAATTCAAGATCCTGGAATAAACAAAAATTCACGTATATAAAGTTAGCAGTGCAAAATTTTTATGACTGGAAAAATTAGTGCTAATTAAATGCCAAGTTCACAAATTTTGTGCTCTTGTAGTTTCCGAGATATCGCCTGCACTGCTACCTACCTGTTAAAGATAGCAGTGCATCAGCCAGGAAAGTGGTAGGGTGATATAAATGATAAAGAAAATTGAATGCTAATTAAATGCTACCATTTTCATGAATAAAATTTCTATTTTCAGCTTTTTTTCGCATATTTTTTTAAAAACAACGTGGTGCACTGCTAGCTTTATGCAGTACACATATTGAGTTTTCATGAAAGAAGGGATTGGAAGAGTTTTTGACATAGGAATAATTTAGTGCTAATTGAATGCCAAGTTACCAAATTTTGTGCTCTTGTAGTTTCCGCGATATAGCCTGCACTGCTATACCCGTTAAAACGTCTACATTTCCCAAATGGTTTTCTTCTGATCTTAGAAAATTGACTTGCCAGAGGAGACGTGCACACTCTTTTTACATTAGTAACCGCTCAGATGATAATTATGCAAAGTTTTCAGATTTGTGTGTCAAGTGTAAGAGGCTCTCTAATATTTGTTTATCTAATTACATGCGGGGTTTTGATGAGAGACTGAAAGTTGATCCAAAATCATTTTGGAAATATATCAATGATAAGCGTTCCACTTATTGTCTTCCAGGCTCACTCTTTTATGGGGGGGAGAGGGCTTCAAATGGGCAGGATGTAGCCAATTTATTTGGGAAATTTTTTCAGACTGTATATGTAGCTAACCAGAACTCTCCAGTACTACCTGATTTAACATTGGATAATAACATAAGTAGCAATATTAAGTGCTCAGAAATAAGTAAGTCTGATATTTTCGATCAGATATGCAGTCTTCCCAATGAAATTACATCAGGGCCGGACGGAGTGCCTGATTTCCTCTTGAAAGAGTGTGTTTGCACTATAGTTTTACCATTGTATATCCTTTTTAATAGATCCTTGATTAGTGCTGTGTTCCCGAATGAATGGAAAAAGAGCTATGTTGTTCCTATTTTTAAAAGTGGTCAAAGAGAAAATATTGAAAATTATCGTAGTGTTTGTATTCCATCCGCAATACCAAAGCTCTTTGACTGTCTTGTTGGCAAGCAACTGAGCTGGATATGTAAAGGTTTAGTTTCTGTGGAGCAGCATGGCTTTTGGCAAAATAAATCCACATTGACAAACTTGGTAGGTTACCAGACAAGCATTTTGCATCATATGGAGGGGCAGAAACAAGTAGACTCTATATATACAGACTTTGCTAAGGCCTTCGATAGGGTGGATCACCGGATACTCTTGCAGAAGTTAACCAAGATTGGTTTTCATTCTCATTTTGTTATATGGATCCAGAGCTCACTGACTGATCGTATCCAACATGCTAAAGTAGGTTGTTATTTTTCTGAGTCAATCTCTGTTACATCGAGTGTCCCGCGGGGCGGTCACTGTTCTCCTCTTCTCTTTAATATTTTTGTTAATGATATAACTGATTGTTTTATAAACAGTGAGAGTGTGCAAAATTTGCAGATGATTTGAAATTTTGGAGAACGGTGGAGAGCATTGTGGACCAGTTGCTTCTGCAGGAGGATCTGGATCGCTTGTCCGTGTGGTGTGTAGAAAGTAAGTTATCTCTGAATGTGGATAAATGTTGCTATATTAGTTTTTCAAGGAAAGTAAATAAAATTCAAACTAGTTACTTTATTAACAATCAGTCTCTGAAGTGTGTGTCTAGAGTGAAAGATTTGGGTGTTATTTTAGATGAGAGATTATCTTTTATTGATCACATAAATTCGGTTGCAGTAAGGGCTTCAAAGATGTTGGGTTTCGTCGTGAGAAATGAGAAACTGTCAATGCTTCTCTGTGGGGGCTACCAGGGTTGTCTACTGCTCCTTGGTAAGGTCAACATTGGTGTGGTCACCATATTTTCGGATTCATATGTTTTCCTTGGAGAGGGTGCAACATAAATTTCTTAGAGTGTGTGCGTTTAAAAATGGCTTTGCTATGGCTGACCACGACTATAGAGCAATGGACCTTTCTCATGCAATGAACAACAAGGATAGTTTATTAAGATTTCTGCAATAAAGAAAAAGACACATATAATGACGCGCGATACCTGTGTGGAATGACTTTGATTGGTTCCACTTGTCAAATTGTGCAATTTCGGTTATGTTTCTGTTTTTGTTTAAACGTAAATATGACAAAATACGTATTAAGATTAATTAGAAAGAAAACCCACCGCAGCAAAAATGTTTGCAGCAAACCCTTAATTGTACATTATTATTGTATTTGATATAAATAAAAATCGCTATTTTACGAACCCTCAAATCTCTGTCCCAACTTAAATCGTCTTCATTCGGGTTGAGAGCACGTAACTATTGTTTTCTTATAATTTGATTGCCTGGGAACTTGTGAAAAGAAAGGTTTCACTTCTTTTTCGCCTAATTCTGACAAGAACTCATTCAACTCATTTGAACCATTGTATCATAAACAGTTTTTGTATTAATTTTCAGCAATATTAATTGATACTGATTGATTATTGAGGTTAGCTTAAATACGTCAAGGTCAGACCGTGTTCAGTAAATTGACGATTTAATTATCTGTCACCCACAAGATGCGCGCGCAACACAGGTAAAATGAGAAAGGTCCATTGTCATTGAGTCCTCTGGGCCTTCGTAGAGATAGTTTTGGTGTAGCATTTATATACAAATTAGTACATGGGTTAATTGACTGTCCAAGTCTCCTTTCTTCAGTTAGTTTTAATGTACCCACTAGGGGACTGCGGCAACACCCAACATTTCTCATACCTTTTCACCGCACAACATATGGTGAAAATAATCCTATTGACAGATATATGTCATTAATTAATAACTTAAATATTGATATATTTGATATGACCCTAGGTCAATTAAAAACGTACCTGAAGAATATGTGATATTTTTTGTATAACAGGGTCAATTCTGGTTTGTGTATTATTTGTTGTACCTAATTCTATTTTATGTTTCCATATGTTAACTACTCATTAAGGGCCAAATTACAGTATATCTGCATCTGCAAATTTGCAGTTCTGCAAATATGGCCGACTTGCAAATGTGCTCTATTTGCAGAAACAAGCAAATTACAGAAAAAAATCTGCAGTTTCGTCATATTTATCGGAAAAAGTGTTTGGGCGCTACTGATTTACCATATTAAAATGCCAAAGTTGTCAAAGTGATTGCAAGGACTTGCGGGACCGTTTCACCATGCGCAAATTTGCAGGCGACTTGCAAATGCGTTCTGCTTCTGTGATACGAAAAGTCAGACTTGCAGGTTCTGCATTTGTATCTTGGTGTTGCAGAGCTTCTGTAATTCCGGGCTAAGTATCAAGATCAAGATATTTTTCATAATACCTACATACTTTTACTAATACTAATACCTACTTACTTAAAAGATGATTTTTGGCTGTACTTGATTTGTTTTATATTATTGTGTAGTATTAATTTTTATAGTTAAATAATATTTATTATTTATGTAGTTATAGTTATAAGATAGTACCTAACTTATGCTTTATTCTTTATATTTTTTCTTAAATTGTATTTTAACAGTTAATGGGGTTTTCCCGTAAATAAATAAAAAAAAAAAAAAAAAAAAAGATAGCAGTGCACCATCCAGGAATGATCCAGGAAAGTGGTAGCATGATATAAATTATGAAAAAAATTAAATGCTATATAAATGCTACCATTTCCATTAACAAAATCTCAGCACATTTTTTAAAAGCAACGCTGTGCACTGCTAGCTTTATGCAGTACACATATTGAGTTTTCATGAAAGAAGGAATTGGTAGAGTTTTCGACATAGGAATAATTTAGTGCTAATTAAGTGCTGATTAAATGCCAAGTTCACAAATTTTGTGCTCTTGTAGTTTCCGAGATATGGCCTGCACTGCTAGCTACCCGTTTAAGATAGCATCGCACCATCTAGGAATGATCCAGGAAAGTGGTATGGTGATATAAATTATGAAGAAAATTAAATGCTAATTAAATGCTACCATTTCCATGAACAAAACTTCTATTTTCAGCTTTTTTTTGCATATTTTTTTAAAAACAACGCTGTGCACTGCTAGCTTTATGCAGTACACATAGTGAGATTTCATGAAAGAAGGGATTGATAGAGTTTTCGACATCGGAATAATATAGTGCTAATTAAATGCCAAGTTACCAAATTTTGTGTTCTTGTAGTTTCCGAGATATGGCCTGCACTGCCAGCTACCCGTTTAAGATAGCAGCGCACCATCCAGGAAAGTGATAGGGTGATATAAATGACGAAGAAAATTAAATGCTTATTAAATGCTACCATTTCCATGATCAAAATTGCTATTTTCAGCTTTTTTTCGCATATTTTTCTAAAAACAACGTGGTGCACTGCTATCTTTAACAGGTAGCTAGCAGTGTAGGCGATATCTCGGAAACTACAAGAGCACAAAATTTGTGAACTTGGTATTTGATTTGCACTACTGTTGCACTAGTTAATATTTATTAAAAATATATACGGACTGTATATTAATCATTTACTTTGACTAGATTTATTTATTGAAAACGGTTTTCTTTGACATCGAATTATATATCTTTCAAAACATGACACCCAGGTATTACTGGTA